CTCCACCCCCCCTGTCAGGCGCCTTCCGACAGCTCAACACCCCCTTGCTTTACGGCAGTCACAGCTCCCCAACATCAACCAGCGTTTGAACACCCCATGAAACTTCAGCCCCGTGGCAAGGGAAGCACCGCACACCCCAGAGACCCAGTGAAGGCTCTGCGCAGCGCTGGGATGTCCCGGTCCAGAACACCTCCTGGAGCATTCCCCACAAGCGAGGAGTAGGCAGATTTTTCAAGATCCTTTTTCCAGACTCCGTTTCAAGACGTGTGCGCTCAGCCCCAGCCCGCTCAGCGAGGCCCCGACGCCGCTTCCTACCTGAAGCAGCGCGTTTTCCTGCTTCAGCTTCGCCGCGCTGTTCTCTGCCTTAACAGCCCGTTTCTGAAACGGAATGAAGATCATTTACAGCCCAGCAGCGCTCAGGACGCAGCAGGCACGTCAGCTACGTAGGACACACGGTTCCAGCACGTAAGTTACAGGGTTTGTGTCACGCCGCCTCGTGTTCCGAATGCTTGACAGGATGGGGGTAGTGCCCCCAGCCCTGTCTGATCAACTCCCTCCTCCCCTCCTCATTTTTCCTTTCTGGCCGTCCATCACCTCCAGCCATTAAATTTTGGTCGTGGACAAGAGGAAAAGGTACTTGGTATAAATATGTAAGCAGGAAAAATGGCTCTTCGTTCACGTAGGAGGTGTTTTCAGAAGGGTGCAAATTTGTTGACGAATCCAGAAGTGGTGTTAATGCAAAGACCTCCCTCATTCTGGGGAAGGAAAGAAGTTCTGGACTCGGGTGCAGCCTTGTTGTAAGGGAAAAGTCTAACCCCACATCAGAGCTGCTCACTGCTCACACGGGTGAAGCAAACGCTTCACCTCCCCTCACTCTCCTGGCAGAGGAAGGAACTACCCAATTTCCCAACTGTGAACAAGCTTCTGCTACAACACCAACACTTACAGTCATCAGCTGGAGATTCTGTTCCACGTGCTGCACCATTGCTTCCAAATCCTGCGCTTCTTTTTCTTCTTTGATTTTGTTTTCCTCAAGCTTTTTTTCAAGCTTCCTCATCCTTGAAAAACAAAAGAGAACACACAGTGAGCACTTTTAACACTAAACACTTCAGGAAGAAAATTCTAAAGCAGGATCAAACTCATTCTTTCATGTTAGAAGAAAAACGAAGCATTCCCACAGAACCACGCTTCTAGGCTGTTGCTCAGGGGATTTCTTTGTTCGACGTCCATCAGCATTAACGGGGACGATACAGCCGAAGGCAGAAAGGCCGCACAGCAAACACGGCTGTTCCCGGTCAGTCCAGACAAGGGTAATTCTGAAGCAAACGGTTCCCTCATTGCCATGGAAGCCCCAGCTGCCTCACTGCGAGGAGCAGCAGAGGATACAGAGGAGAACTTAAGAAATTGCCACCCTAGATGGGTCACCGGGTTGTTTAAGTCTCCCAACAGCCAGCTGGCCACCAGCAAAAATGAAAACGCTTTTCTTGCTTCAAAGGAGAGAGATTAAGATTCATTATTTTGTTAATCTGAAGCTTTATGAAATGCACCCTACCCTCATTTGCACTAATCACCTAAACTGCACAAAGCGTAAGCCACACAAACACACTCATCAGATGTCAGCTTGCTACTTACTTTCCACGACTTTTTCAATAAGAAAACCAGGTTTGTTAAAGCTTTTAAATAAATAGCACAGATTTCAACTATATTTTTTCTTCTTTAAAGACGTTGACTGTCTCCAGTGAGCACCTCTTCTAAGACAACTCCTTGCTTATGTGGTTACTTTCCCCCATACTGTGGCTTACGCACTTGTCTGCTTGAGTTTCAGAGAAAATCTGAAGCTTATTGATCTTGCTTCTCAAACTGGCATTCTCTTCTTTTAGCTAAAAAAAATAAAAATTCTCATTAGGAATGCAGGTGTGGTTTCAAAACACTACTAGCACTCTAAGACCAGTACCAGAAGAAATATTCAGCTTTACTCCAGCGCTGGAGAGCCTTGCTCTTTCTGTTACAGTCAAACTTACTGTCACACCTAGTTTTCCCCTCTTGAAACCACTTAAGGTCACTAACCCTGCGGGGCACAGAAACGTGGCACCGAACAACCAGCGCAGATATGACTAATCACACGTTGTTAATTCTAAAGGAATATGACCTCAAGGGGCAAGCAGCATGAGGAAGGCACCTGGGTCACGCCAAAAGCAGTAGGACAGCAAGGTACTGGATCTGACTCGTGCTGCAGAGCAGATTTTCAGACCTACTTCTCTTCCTCAAGCTGCTCTAACAAGCTGCCAGGTATCGCACAGCCCCTGCTGGCAGCCCGCTTTGCCACCACGTTTCTGTAAGGACCCGGCACACGAGCTCAGAGCTCGCTTGACAGGAGACGCGGAGCCCGTTGGCGTCCGCCCTGGGAAAGGCGCCGGGAGGCGGGCCGAGGTGCTTACCTCCTCGTAGCTGGGCTGCCGCAGGGAGTGAAAGCCCGGCCCCGGGGGGGCTCCGAGGGAGGAGGCCACGCTCGGGTCCTCGCTGCCCGCCTGCCCC